TGGGTCAGCCCGCCTTCCCGTCACCCTCACGCCCCAGGCCCTTTCTGCGTGCAGCCACAGCGGAAGCACAGAGTGCTCCTTCACGCCTCACGTGGCAGGCCAGCTTGCGAGGCCCACCCTGCAGGGCTGGAAGGGCACGAGCCGTGCCGGACACGTGCTGCAAGCGCTGGGGGACGCACCAGGGTGGGAGGGGGAGAGGGGCCGCGCGCCAGGCTGCCCAGGGCCTCAGACGGGACCCGGGAGCTGTCTGGGCCGGCACCGTCTCTGGCGACTCTTGGGGGCTTCCTCCGAGCGCCGCCACCAGACCACATGCCTGTGCTGCCAGGACGGCACTGGGGGCCTCCCCACCCAAGGGGAAGGGTCCGAGCTGAGCCAGACACTGGTGGCTCGTGGCTGCACTCTGCAAGCCAGCCTGAGGGGCAGGCCCAGGGGGTCCTTTGCCCCGAGGGCCAGCAGGCGCCCCCCACGCTGCTGCCCCATCCTCCAGGAGGCCCAGCCCGGCACCCCCCTCCATGCCGCAGTCCACTGGCCTGCCCTCTCCGACCGCGTGGGCGGCGGGAAGGGGAGACCGCGGGAAGCCACTGGCTCGCGTGAGCGAAGGGCGGGCCCTGAGACCATCCCGGCGTGTTGGAGAGCACTGCCGAAGACGAGGCACCCTTCCAAGCAGGGGACGTGGCCATACATGAGGGCGGGCCCTTCCTCCGTTCAGTCCAGTGTCAGCCACATGGACAGGCAGCGACTTCTCGCGCTCTCCGGCTGGATTCCTCCCCGGCCCGGCACTGAGCTACAGCCGTTCCCTTACGGGACGACATGCCTGCCCTCTTGGGCCCGAGGCATCCCAGGCCCCTCCGTGGGGACGGCTCTGGACGGGGCAGCTCTCCAAGGCAGAGGCGGTGCTGCGGCAACTGACGAGGGTTCACACCGGGAGTTTGGAAGTACTCTCTGGGCCCCGCCACGGGGAGCTCTCCTGCTTTGCCAGCTGAGCGAGTAGGCGGGCTGGAAACGGAGGAGCAGAGTCTGTTCGAGGGGACGAGGAGGCCTTCTGCACTCTCCCGTCGCAGAGACTTTTCATTCAGTCCAGCTGCTGTGGGTCAACGAAAAGGCAAACCAAGAGCATGCGAAAGATTCTTCCGCACACAAACAGAAGCCCCTGAATTTCACGGGTGCCCGGGCCCAACGGAGGGAGCGCCGTGCTGCCCGCGGGGCAACCCAGCCGAGGCTCCGGCCATCGGCAGTGACGCAATTCCAGCACAGGACTGCGACACACGCTGCAGGCACGGAACCCTTGTGCAACAAGCCGGGCTTCTCTCTCTTGATCTTGTTAAATTCCAATTTGCCAAATGGGAACTCACTCATCTCGGGGGGGGGTGGGGGGGGACACACGAGGCCGAGGGTGCAGAACGCGAAAACAAAAGGACTTCATTACAGGCCTGTGTAAGGCTGACAACAGTCAGACAGGCCGTTATGAAGCATGAGCAGAACCACACAGGCAATTAATATTTTATACAGCTGGTAATGCGCTTCCGAAGGTTTGGCTCTAAAAATAATTCATTCCCGACGCTTCGACTCCTTTCGGAGAGGCTGCCTCTGCTTTTCCAAGCCAGGTCTTCAAGCAAGGCTGCTTTCTTTCGAGAAAACTCCCACACAGACCGGGCTGGGGAGAAACGGAGGAGTGCGTATCCTCCAGCAAGTCCTTTTAGAAAAGCCAAAATCCTTTGGTCATTAAGGGTTTGCACAGCATCAGCACCCGCAACAAGCGGAAGGAGTTCTTTGGCATCTCCTTCTGCCCCCAGGAAGTTCTGGGCCATATTCACAGCGTGGAGAGAGAAGCAAAACTTTTTGCTTCCCTGCTCCCTGATGGGTCCGACACAAGCCGGGCCAGGAGTAAGAAGCAATGCTTTGCTTACAACTGGTACAAGGCAGAAGCCTTCAGATCCTGGCAGGATTCAGCCACGTCACCTTCGTCAGCTTCACCCCTTTGGCCAGGCTGATCGCAAGGGCAAAGGAAAATAAATTCAGCCTAGCACAACGGAGCAGCAATTTGCGTACCAAAAGACATGTGCAAGAATCGTCACAAGCAGTCCTAGAGCATCCTTCCGTGAAAGAAAATGCGGCCAACTAAGAATAATCACACAGTGGCTCCTGAATATTCAAACACCTTCCAGTATAATTAATTCATTAATTACTCCCCAGAAAATTAATACACCCGCACTGCCTATGGAAGGGAGGGAGGAAGGGAGAGCGATGGCCCTCGTGAGATATTAGCAGAGAAAGCCCCCACTGCCTCCGGGAAGCACCCGTGGGCCTGGCGTGAGGACGCCTCCTGGCCAGCTGCTCTTACAGGCTCATTCCCCTTTCGGAATGGAATCCCCAGGACCGTGCAAGCAGTTTGCGTGGGTTTTAAAAACAATATACCGCTGCTGTGGGGATGGTGGGGCTCCAGGCTACCCCCAAAGCGGACAGAAGAGGGGCACAAACTCTTCCACCTCGCATCTCCTCCCCATCGGAACAACCAGCGCAGATGCCACCCCGACCTGCAGCGGCACATTTGGGGGCAAACTGCCACAGGAGAGCAAGGCTTCATGAGAGTCCTTACTGACGGTTTAAAAAATCAACCCCAAGGTCTTCAAAAGCCTGCATCTGGTGATGCAAATAACAAAAACTGCGCTTAACAAACCCCAGCCGGTACTTACGGACTCCCCAGGGTCCAACTGACTCCATACCTGCTTTGTTCCAGCTGCCCTGTTTTGCCCCTTAACCCTCGCAGGGCCAAAGGTCATTCTCTCCTTGCGGCTACAACATCTGGGTCCCTTGGCACAGGAAATGCTCTCCTCCGTCTCTCCGGGTCATAGGCCTGCCCAGGGCAGCTCCCCCCGGGGCCGGGGCAGAGGGACCCCCAATTCCAAAGAGCCATCGAGCGCCTGTTGTGGCAGAAAACCTATGTGTGCCCCGGAGTGAGGGAAGCGGCAAGACAGGGATGCCAGCAGCAGCGCTGAGCACCTGCTTCCACCTTCTGGCTGCCCATTCGAGCAACCAATGTCTTTGGAGGTGGTGGGTCAAGCGCCTCACCTGCAGTCTCCCCAAACTGCACCAAAGCGCCAAAGGCGGCTGCGGGTGGTTGGCCCCATCCTGTGGTTCTCAGGAAACACTGGCATCACGGCCTTAATATGGCGTGTTCATGTGATGGAGCTGGGAGTCGTGTGGGCCAAGTCATGCCATGGCAGTGCCTAATGTCCTGCAGAGTTTCAACCGGGACGCTTTGCCTTCTACAGGCACCCATGTGGCACAGCAGTGGTGGCTTTGACAGGAAAGGGCAGCCCAAGGCGAGGAGGGGGAGGAGGAAGCAGAAGCAGGCAAAGGAGGTGGTGGTCTAGATCAAGTTACGCTACACAGGGAGATGAATGGAAGCAGCAATCAGCACGTGCCGGACATCGGCTGCGGTGGGGGGGGGGGGCAATGGCTGGCCATGGTCCAACCAGCTGATTTTCATGTAGCTCATACCTGCAACCACCTGGGAAGTAAAGTCCTCTCAGTTTCCCTTCTCTTGACACAGGTAACTGCAGTTGCTCCTGCTTTACTTTTCTTCCTTTTGTCCGAAATCTGCCACACCCCCTTCTGGTCCCCTGCTCTGCCATTTCTGCAGGACCGCTGTCCCTCTTCGTTTGGCAAAAGGGAATCTCCCCAGTATCTGCCTTTCTCTGGCTCCCAGTTAAGCCTGTCCTGGCCTGGGTATGCACTAGGCAAAACTGGCCACATCATTTTCCCCCTTGGTAGCTACTGAGCATTTGTGCATTAAGAAGGAAATTCTGTAAAGATCAGCTCTATGTTTTTGGGATATAAACAATCATTTGAATTAATTTTCCCAATGTTGCAGCTACTCCCTGTTTTAGTAACAATACAGTGCAGGACTTGGCTGTTTTGTGCCACACCTCTGGTTCAAGGGTGCTCAAGATGAGCTGTTGTCATTCCGGAACTATAAATGTATGTTTGACAAGAACAAGGAAGACACTAGCACTTATGAAAGCCCTGTAAAGATACTGTAATTGGTGTAAATAAGGGGCTGCCAAGGCATTTGGGCCAGGCAACCTTTTCTGGATTCAATCATACTGTCCTGAGATATGTAAAATCCAATGTACAAGGGCCTCATTCCATCTGGGGTGCTCAACACACAACGCTCTGTTCAAATGCTGCACCGGGCTGTGTTGTCTGGTGGCAGGACGGTAGTTCTGGGCGAGTCGGGAAGGCGCACTCACCCATCCTGCCAAGCATAAGGACTGGGCCCAGGGAAAGCTGTCATTCCAGCCGGCGATTTGTCTTCACAGATATTACTTCACACACTGAATACCACAGGCAGAGAAAGAACTCTGTGACCACTTGCACCCTGTCAAAGAATATTCCCAAGACCAAGAGCCACGTCCTTAACAGGATTAAATGATGACTCTTGCTAGCTACAGTACAGAGGTTTTACTAGTAGAAAACATGTTGGGTATTTCATAGATATCTCAGAGTAATGAGAGGAAGACAAAAAAAAAAAAAAGGTGAAAAGGGGGGCTGAAAAATAGACTGCTAGGAAAAAAGACACAAGAGAAAGCATCTTACTTTCTAATTATGGACAAACATGTAAAGGAACCCTGTCTCATTACTCAAGAGACCTGTCCTGGTCACATCGATCTCTGAGCTTGGGGAGCAAGATGCAAAGAGGTGTATGTATTGTGCAAGATGAGCATCAAAGCGTCTTCCAGAAGCCGTTAAATTCTCTCAAAATTCTTGAATATTCCGATGGAATTAAAGAGTCAGCCCTGGATAGTTCTCCAAGAGGCCGACCAGCATAGCTCAGTTTCTCGTTTCCCACCATTAGATAGTGTTGCAGCCCTGCAATTGGTGCATGGAAATGTCTCTCAAGCATGCAGCCAACTGACAGGCAGGGGAGAAAATGCCCACTGCAAAATGAGACTACAGATATCATTTGCTTTTCAAGACAGGACAGCCTGTCTGCATACCTGGAACATCAATTAATCTCTTGTAGACATTCAGGAACGCCGCCTCTGCTTCTTTGCTTCTTTTGCCCAATGCATCAATCTAAAAAAGAAAAGAAAAGAAAAGGAAGGTGTGTGTGTGTGTGGGGGGGGGGTCTTGGATCACTTCCAGAGAAAAATATCCACACGCACACCAGTGGGGCTGAAGTTACGACTGCACAAACAGTACTGGCGATGCCAGTTTCTTTCTTGTTTAAAGCTGGGAGCTCACATCTCTGCAGGCAAACAGCAGGGCTGGAAAAACGTTTCCAGTTCCATAACATGGGCATCGGATGCATCAGCACTGGCCTTTCACAGCCGGATCCAGTTCCTGTGAAGAGGCCGGAAGGATGAGGCAAAGGGAAGAAGAGGGCGATGAGGAGCCGTCAGTGCTTTGGGCTGCCTCCCAAGATTAACTCGGCATCTTTAGGGTGGCCAGTGTGGTCTAGCAAACCTGCTCTGCCCCAGCGCATTTAAGGCTTCCCAGTCGGTGTGGTTGGACACGGGCCTGTAAAGTCTTGGGTCACCCGTTCCAAGCCATAGGATGGCTTGCTCTGGCAGCCCCCGATTCCTGGGTGTGACCAAAATGAGCTTATGTTTATACAACTGAATGCCTGCTTGACACTGTAAAATCATTCCAAAGTGCAGATTTTAAAAAACCAACAAAGCACAATATAATACTAATGCACTAATTGCTAACCCAGTAAAACAGGAGGGCAGGCACCCTGATGTATCACAGCTGGGATGGCCCGGCACTTCGGATACTGACAGAAGCCTGGATGGATGAGCAGGAGGAATGTTAGTTCCCGAATTATGTTCATCTCCCTCTATTGCTCTGCCTGTGTCAGATCACACGGTAACATTTTTGGGCAGGGGCCTGCTTTACCTGGAGACACCTGGCTGCCAGGACTGCCTGTCGCCGCCTTCTCCGCTTGCAAGACGGTTTGCAGGATGTTCCTGGGCAGCAGGGTGACCTGCCATCCACCGAGGAAAAATCAACCATGCCACAGGTCACAAAGGTGTCCAGCATCAGGCTCGTGATGATGGGGCACCGAGAGCAGGGCCACCGCGGCCATCAATGCATGGAGGCCCCGGGAAGGCCGCCGGTACGTCCCACTGCTGTATCTCGCCCTCTCCACCACACAAATGCCGCCAATGCCCAAGTTGGTCTGCTTCCTCGCAACGTTCCTAATCACATCTCGTTCCTCTGCTCTTAATCAAACACGCGCTACCCCTGCAAGATGCAGAGATACCAACGCTTCTCCCTGGAAGAGTTTGTTCCCCCCTCGCCCATGCAAATTAAGGCATCAAGAATCCCGACACAGAAAGAGGGACTGCAGTTTCATTCAGAAGACCTGTCTGATGCAAACCAACTTCTCTCTTGATAATCATCCACAGCAATGGACTGTGCATCCCTTTTTCCCCCACCCTGCAAGTCTGAAAATATATCATTTTTACTATCTCTGCAGTCTAGTTCATCTTGAACTGGAACAGCTTGACAGGAAATGTGAGAGGCAACACCCCAGCCGTGTTGTGCAATTCTCATCAAAAACTGCAGAGCACCTGAAGCTGGATTTGGGACGCTCAGCAGGTGCTTGTACACTGACAGAAACAGCACCTCCCAGTCTCTCAGAATCCGAGGCTGCTCCACTGGACTGGCAGCTCAGGACTCCATTCCCCAAGCTCCTCATTCTCTCTCCTTGCGGTCAGTGGCCTGGAAAGTCTCCCCCTCCGGCCGCCTTCTCCCTCACCACCTCTAGCAACATCCCTGACGCATGCAGTGCTCAGTGCGACAGCATGCGAGCCAGCGCAGGACACAGGCCACGTCGACACCTAAGACCGCCTGGGAGGTTGCTGTGGTGTGGAGGCTGCCGTGTGGCTTCCATCCCACACCAGCGGTGCCCCAGCTGAGAACGAGACGCTGCGGCAAGCAAGCTCCCCGAGAGGTTAAATCAGAATCTACAGGGAACTGTGTGGTCCTTTGGCACCGGAGTTAGACTAGGAGTCCGGACTGGCAAGACACCACCTTAGCAACTGCAGACCGAGAAGTGGCGCAAAGCCCTAACACCCGTAAGGTGCACAGCAAGCGCCTCCGGAGTAGGCGCGGCACGGAAGCAGGGAATGGTCTCTGACCAGAAGGCTCGGAAGCAGCTGTGGCTTATACGTAAGCACCCAAATGATCTAGTCCTCAGAAAGACCCTAGCAGTGGTACGTAGATGACTCGGTAGATCAGCCTTCCCCAGCCTGGTGGCCTATCGAGGCATCTGGACTGCAATTCCCAGAATTGCCATCCAGCAGGGCCATTGACTGGGAATTCTGGGTGCTGCAGTTCAAAAGTGTCTGGAAGGCACAAGGTTGGGGAAGGCTGTTGTAGATTACTGATCTTAAAGGGTTAAGATCAGCACTTGAAATTGGGGCCAGAAGTTGGCACTGGTGGCCAATGCAGCTGGAGCCCTGCTGGGCTTCTGCGTCCAGGTTTTCTGACCCCACCGGCACCCAGACGGCTGCATTTCACCCCAGCTGCAGCATTTATTATTTATTTATTCAACTTGCATTCCGCTGTTAATTAGTCTGAGGACTCGCTAAGCGGATTACAACATCTGGGTCATCTTCCAAGGGAATGAATGGACTTGGGACCGGCAGGGTGCTTTGTATCGTTACAACATTGGTGCTCCTTCCAATCAGCAGTGTTATTGGTGGCTGTCGCTCAGCTCTAGGCTTCCCATCTCTCATCAACTGGCTAAAACAAGAGCCTGGGCACCTTCCCAGATCAATGCAAGGAGGTGGTTGTTTTCAAACCCAACCAGCTTTGGGTGGCTTTTATCAATTGCGTTTTTTTATAGGCCTGCGCACCTGGATGAGGTGAGCTACAAATCAGTGCGTGAAACAGGTAAATATATCACCTGTGCTTACTGGGGTTCTGAAACTGCTCTAAAAAACCCTGTGAGTTGCTATTTCGTCCATCTTTTTGTCCAGCTGCAGGAGAGAGCACCAACTCCTGGTTGCCCATAGAAGGAAACAACAACAAGCAAACCATGGTGTGAGAAACACTATTAATGGGGAGCAAGGACACACGTGTTGCTCCCGAGTCAGCCCTGCCCCTCATCCGAGCCATTAACACATCAGCTTGAGAAGAGACACCTCCTTGCAGCCCCATGATAAACAAGGCATTCTCTGAACCGTTCTGTAGCACTTACTGGACAGGTACAATATCGGCTGCGCCGAGATCAATAAATGCACCTTATTGCTTTTAATGCCAAGAGTGAAACTCACATCATGAACTAACAGGCCACAGTGTGCACTTCACTTATCTCAGGAAAAAGAGAAAAAGGCAGCAGCTTTCTACCGACACTTATTTCCAAAATGAATTAAACATGAATGCAAAAGGAGAGCTATTTCTCAGGCTGTTTTTAGGTTTCCACAGCTGGGATGAAAATCTACAAGTTGGTCAGCCCTGCAGAAAAGGTCCTCTCCTAGGAACTGAACCTCTGATGGTAGTCCGAAACAGCCTACCTTAGGAGAGGAGGGACAGGTTCGTCCTTCGGCTATCTTGGGCCTAAACTCTGGACTGGTGCTCAGAAGCCAGTGAACTGGAAGCCAGTGGAGTTTTCCAAAGCTGCCTCCCCGATCAAAACTCTTGCTGCAAATGACGTATCCTGCCTGTGTGTTTAGACTGTGCCACTCTCCTCAAGGACCCGTTTGGCACGTCATGGCTCCTCAGGGTCGGTTTACATCATGGGTGACTGCAAAGAGCAGGGGCAAGTGAGCACCCTACTGAGGGGGTGCCAGCCACTCCCCGGGGGATGTTCCATTTCTCCCCACTTCTGAATCCAGAGCTACAGATTGTCTGGGAGAGACAACCCAGAGTCGGAAGCCTAGATTGTTTATCTCGGCACGAACAGTCGATTGGGCAGCAAGAACGGGCAAGATCACACCTTCCCTGCTACATTCACAGCAACCCATGGGAATGGCCACGCACAAACAGAACTGACGTCCAATTCCCAAGCTTCCTGCAAGGGAGGCTGTGAAAAGTTTAAAGCAGGAGTAAGAACGGCACTATGTTTTAAGGGGCCTTTCCCCTGAGGTTTTTGCCACCTGCTGCTTCTCCTTCATGGCCGCTGTCTAGCATGCTGTGAGATGACATCCACTAGAATGACACCCATCAGCCCTCTTTCCCGGTGGGCGGCCAGAAAATCGGCGCACAGTGCCTCCTCCCCACCAGAGAAAGCAGCAACAGGCCTGCCTGCCTCTGCTTGATCAAGCAAGCCTCTCTGCAGCCGCTTTGCCAGACTTCGAGCCTCGTGGACGTTCCAACCCCACCAGCAGTCCAGCTTGCCCTCCCGTTTCCGGATATGAGTAACTTCCACCAGGTTTAACTTGGGAGTTGGTCGGAGCCTTCAAAGGGAAATCGCATGGTACACGGTGCTTTGGTTGGCACCGCATGAGGGGCCTGCGTTCCTGCCACGCAGCCCCTGCTGGCCGGGATGGAGCAGTTCTCTGGCCCCCTCCGCTCTTCAGGCCAGTTCTCCAGTGAGGGCGCAGAGCAGGGGGCTGGGGGCCCGGCGCACCCCTTGTCCTCGGCACCAGTTGTGCTTGGCTGTGCGAGAGAGAACACAGCTTCCCAACTGGGTGTTTTAATCGCCATCTCCACACAGTCGCACATACAATGACTTCTGAGATGGAACGGGCCGCCCACAAACTGAGCTTTCCCCTCAATGATGGCAGAACCATTTTGGGAAATGCCCCGCGGCTGGAAATCGCCAATTAGTGTGCTTTGGAAATCACAAAGAATGCAGACTCTTTTCAAAGTACAGGGACCTGGTATTTGATCTTGGGGCTGTTTTCTAAGGGGAGGCCTGTGGGGAGAATCCTAGTTTCTGACAACCCTTTCACTGCAGCCCTGCTTCCATGCTCTCCTCTCCAAAAGAGCTGAAGGAATGGCCCAGCCTTCTTCCGCTCCCCCCATCGCAACATATTCATTGACTCTATTTCCTACCTGAGCCCCCTTCTTGCAAACCGCAAACTTTCTGGACCCCAAGCCCACACTCTGACCACACCTTACCT